CGCCTCCACCGCTCCCGCCACCGCACCGGCAGCAAGCGGTGCCGATGATGCTGTGGGCGCAGTAGCCGCACATCATTTCAAAGGGCCACCCGGGGCAGCTCGACGCGCCAAGCGCGGCGCAGGAGGTTGAGGACCAACCTTCGGTCAGCGGCATGTCAACGCACTGCCCGCCGTCGTTGCCCGCCGGTGGCGGCGACGGCGACGGGCGTGCGCGACGAAGACGGCGGACGCGGCTCGCAAATAGACCATTCTACTACCGCTCCAGCCCGGCCTCGTTCGTCTCCTTTGACGACGAGCAGTCGATCGCCATCAAGGCAGCGTACGCAAAGGAGAAGGCCTTCGCCGGGATGATGTCGTCCGACTCATCCGACTCCTAGGACGCCTCCTCCGCCTCCTCCGCCCCCCGCGGCCCACGCGCTGTTCGCGGCGGAGAGCAGGTCCGCGTCCTTGTCGTCGGATGCCTCCCACCACATCATCCCGGCGAAGCCCTTCTCCTTTGCGTACGCCGCCTTGATGGCGATCGACTGCTCGTCGTCAAAGGAGACGAACGAGGCCGGGCTGGAGCGGTAGTAGAATGGTACCTTGCTCGCCGCGTTCCACCCCTTCGTCCAGGCGGGGTTGCCGTCGTAGTTTGCCTTGATGTCGTAGTACGAGACGAGACCCTCCTCGTACGTGCCGCTGACGGGGCTGCCCGCGCCGTTCTCGCCCGGCGCCTGTGCGTACTCCTGGTTGGCGCCAAGCCAGCCGCGGCCGTACGCGGGCAGCCCGAGCACAAGCTTGCTCGGCGCGACGTCCTCGAGCCACAGCTGCACGCCCCAGTCGATGTTGAACTCGGGCGCGCCGCCGGCGGCGGTGCCGTCCGGGTCCTCAAAGAGCGGCGCGTTGTGAGCGACGAAGGGCAGCCAGGCGCCGTTGTAGTCGTACGACATGAGGTTGATGGCGTCGAGGACCTCGCCAAGCTCGGCGCGCGGCGCGACGCCAGAGACGCGCGGGTTCATCCCCATGGCGATGGTGAGCTCCTTGTGCTTCGAGGGCGACCGCTCGTCCATCGCCGCGCGCAGCTCGCGCAGCAGCAGCACGTAGTTGGCCCAGTCGTTGCCGTCCACCTGGTTGTCCGACTCGCCGCAGCAGGCCGGGTACTCCCAGTCGACGTCGATGCCGTCAAAGTCGTGCTCGGTGAGGAGGTCGACGGCGGAGGCGACGAGCGCGGCGCGCTTGTCGGCGTCGGCGGCGCAACCGGAGAAGAACTTGCTCTTCGTCCAGCCGCCGAGCGAGAAGGCGAGGTGCAGGTCGGGGTACTGCTCGTCGCGGAGAATCCGGAGCGCGCCGACGTTCCCCTTGTGCGGCGAGCTCCAGGTCATGCCCACCTCGGGGTAGACGACGTCAAAGTCGGCGTACGGGTCCATCGACGCGACGGCGCAGCCGCTCGTCACGTCGAAGAAGGCGTAGTGCACGTGCGTGATCTTGTCGAGGTGGAGGTCGCTGGGCTTGAAGGGGATGCGGTTGCCGTACTGGTAGATGCCCCAGCTGGAGAAGTATTGCACCACCCGCGGCGGCGTCCCGCCGCCGCCGCCGCCGCCGCCGCCGCCGCCGCCGCCGTCGCCGCCGCCTGGTGGTGGCTTCGGCGAGGGCGGCGGCGGCGAAGGCGGCGGCGGGGAAGTCGCACCTCCGCCGCCGCCGCCGCCTCCGCCACCCTCAATGGTCATGCCGGCGGCGAGGAACTCGGAGATGATGAAGTCAAAGTTGGAGAGGCGGCCTGGGTTCTCGGCCGGTGTGGCCCCCCAGTAGCCGTTGTTGACCACGCCGCCCGTGCCTGACGCGAAGTCGGCGCCCGCGACGACCGACGCGGATCTCGAGAAGCCCGACTCGACGAACTTTCGGAGGGACTCGTCAAAGGTCGCCGCCTCGGCCTCCAGCCCGTACCCCTGCACGTTGTTCGCCCAGTAGAAGATCGCGCCGAGCCACTTGGCGTCGTCGTTCTGGCAGATGGCCTCGGGGTTGGTGCAGAGGTCGATGGCGCTCAGCGAGGGCACCTGGGAAAAGACTTCGCGCTGCAGGAGGCCGTAGTTGTTTGGGCCCGTCGTCTGGATGGCGCCGCGGCCCCACCAGCAGCACTTCTCGGTGCCCGTGCCTGGCTCGCACTTGAGCGGTCCGGGAGCCCACGACGCCCACGTCTCGGCCGTCATGGTCATCTGCGGATCGACGTAGCACGCCCACGGCTGGTCGTTGAGGGAGTGGTAGAGCTCGCCGTCGGAGCGCTGCGTGCACGACGCGGTCGGCGAGGAGGGCGGGTAGTCGTTCTCGTCGCAGGCAGTGAATGGCGCCTCGCCGCCGCTCTCCCACATCGCCTGGGCGAGCAGCCCCGCGATGTTGGAGAGGCCGAGGGCGGTGGACATGTCGCCCTCGCCGAGGAAGAGCCGGCGGTCGCTCTGAATATCGTTGAAGGAGCGGAGGGCGTCGCAGAAGCCAGACCACCTGCGCAGCGGAGCGGAGGCGGCGAATGGGGCGGCGGAGAGGGAGAAGGGCGAGGAGAGGCGGTGGCGATTCGTGCGTGGAAGGGGGCGGCGGAGAGGGAGAAGGGCGAGGAGAGGCGGTGGCGAGTCGTGCGTGGAAGGGGGCGGCGGAGAGGGAGAAGGGCGAGGAGAGGCGGTGGCGAGTGGTGGGTGGATGGGCGCACTTGTAAATCTCGTTGGAGTCGATCAGGCCAATTTTGCACCCAATCTTGCTCTCGAGGAGGACGGCGTCGATGGCGGCATCCCCTGTGCAGACGGCCGGCGGCTCCTTGCACTCGGTGACGCAGGTAAGTCGGCCCTCGTCGTTCAGCGAGCAGCACTCGTCGAGGGCGTTGATGTTGGAGCAGTGAGCTGCAGTGCTGCCGAGCCAGCCGGCGGCCGAGCAGCAGTAGCCGTCGGCGGGCGGAGGCCACGCGGACGAGCACATCTCCCAGCCGGCGGGCGGGCACTGCGGCGTGGCGGTGACGGCGGATAGGATCGCGAGCATCGTGCGTGTTGCTTATGCCCAACTGGGAGTTCGCTTTACGCGTTTTGCTGGCGGGTGATGATGTCACGTAGGGAAAAAACCAAGCAGCAGTCGAAACAAGCCAGCAAAACGCGTAGCGGGCTCCCCTGTGAACATGAAAAAGCGAGCCCGCCTGGCGGATGATGTGCATGTGCATGTGCATGTGCATGTGGTGTGAGCAGAAGGGCGCCCCCCTCCCTGGAAGCGATTTTCCCCTGCTCTTTCGTGCGGCGGGCGACCCTGCTCGAGCTTCCAGGCCGTAGTGATGAAAAAAGAAGGGAAGAATAGACTGTAGGGGTACAGAGGGGCACATTCAAAAGAATCTATTAAGATCGAAGTCTAGCTCAAAAAGAAAAGCTCCGAAACGTCGGATAGGACTTAGAAGCACTGTGAAGAACTGTCTCCACTGACTCTGACACCCCCTCGTGCATTGGTTCTGCACGCGGGCGGTCTGATCGAGAGTCGTCTCCGGAAGCCGGCCTAGGCTTAAAAAAAGGGTAGAGCCGTAATCGGTATAAAGGTGTTAAGGTTCCCCGGGCCACTTTCGGGGGGCAAACCCTGCCCGGCCCCTAGAACCCCAGGTAAGGCCCAGGTGTGGCCTAGGGCATCAGAAGGTAAGGTAAGGTAAGGTAGATTTCTCCACACACACAAAGTGGTGGGGCAAGGGGGGGCGACCCTCGCATCTCCACGCCCGGACACGGGCAGGAGCCCCACGGCATTCCAAAGTGCAAGCACTGGCCCGGTGCACGTGGGTGAGCAGCCTGCCCCTCCCTCCCGACAAACCAACTCCCGCACACACACAATCGCACTCTGGCCATCGAATGACTCCGAATGACTCACTGTGTGTGCTAAGACAGAATCTCCGCAGACATCCAAAACGGGCCGTGCCGCGTTTGTGGTGTCCTCTCAAGCACTAGCATCTGGGCGCCGCACTCGAGTGGGCGGGTCACATCTATGTGGGCCCAGTGTGCGCACTAGGCGCATATGCTAGTGCTATCCTGCCCTATGGGAGGCAGAGGGATGGGGGGAGGGGGGGGCAGAGGTAAGGTGGGGTGAGACTGGGGAGGGCCTCAAAGGTCCTCCATGGGGGTGGGGTCCGGCCCGAACAGGTCGAAGCCGGTCCCGCCATCAGAAGGGACCAAGAGGAGTCCAGTCTGAGCCATAGAGCCAATCTCTTCGCCCTCGAGGGTCGCGTTCAAATGCCCGGAACGGACGTTACAGTGGTGTCCGGCCGGCGCGATCACCGAGCTGTGACGCTCAGGGAAGCCTGATGAGGTACTGGTTTCTTTGCCCAGGCCTGGCCTTACCCCCAGGCTGGATCAGCTGAGCAAGGTTTGGGGAGAATCCCCCGGTCAGATCTTCAGATATTTTGACGGATGACCAAAATCACCCCGTTTTTGCCCATTTTCGGTAACGGCTCCGCTCCTGCCGCCGCCTCCCCATGGCGCACCACACCCCTCTCCTTAAAATCCCTGTGTGGTGGCGGCGTGCCGTTCTCCCATCCCTCCCTTGGGTTGTCTGTTTTCTTTCTTTCTTTCTTTCTCCCCATGATGCCCGCGACCATTCAGGGTTCCGGCTCTTTGTGTGTGGGGCGGCATGACTGCGTCCACCCATACCGCGTTGGTGTCCAGTCCGAGCCTGGCTGTTCTTCACCTTTCAACTATTCTTGCCTCTATGCTGTTCTCAATCCTCGAAGACGAAGGATTGTGAGCGCACTCCTCGCAAGCGAGGCATGCTCGCAATCCTACGTCTTCTACGAACCGCCTGCAGGCCGTGGGCGCATCGATTATTCTTTTCGCGCATGACACCTTTGCGGTCGGGGGCGAAGGCCGGACCTGCTGCTCTTTGTGGTGCCAAGGCCTCGCCGGATAGTGCCTTGGATGGCGGCTCTGCGACGGATGCAGCGCGTGACTCGCTGGGTGGACCCGACCTACCTGAGGAACCGCCTGGTCTGCATCTCGCTCTCGCAGTCGTCATTCATCGGGGAGGAGTTTCAGACCGATCCGTCTGGCCTCCCGCCAGTCTTTCCGCGCGACCAGTGCGAGCGGTGGGATGTCGACGCACTGCGCGGTGCCGCGGCGCAGCACCCTCACCAGCGAGGCCTCTGGATCTTCCCGGGCGCACTGTCACCGGACGCGTGCGCCGACATCACCTCGGCTGTCGAGCGGCTGACCGGCGGACACCGCGTGCAGGGCGAGCAGGGCGTCCCTGTCCGAGCAGCGGCGGAGAAGCCTCCGCCAGCGGCGCCGCCGGCCGAAGAGGCGGCGTGGGAGTGGCTCTCGTACGGACACGCCCGCTGGATGGTGCCGCTGCAGCCGGCTGGCGGCGTCTGCGACGCGTTTGCGCGCGGGCCGCTCTCCGAGCTGCACTCGCACGGTTCAATCTCGGCGCAATCTCGATCTGGGCCCGCGCTCGCGCGTAGGCCGCTCTCCGAGCTGCACTCGCACGGCTGCACCGACGCGAGATCGTGGCCAAGCCTGGGCAGCCTCGGGTGCGGCGGCGGCGAGGCGCTGCGCGCGCTCGAGGGGCTGCCTGCCTCCGCGATGGCAGACGGATTCCGAGGCCGGCCACCGCTCTTCCTGCAGCTGCAGCGGCTGCAGCGCGGCGCCTCCGCCGGCGTACAGGCCGGCAGACCGTCGCCGCACACTCCTGATGCTCCGCGTGTCCCTCTCTTCCAGGCGCCTCCATCGGTGCGCACGTCGACCAACACCAGCAGGGCGGGCGCTCCGCCCTAGATAAATAAATGAAACGGTCAAATTCTGAGACGAGATGGGATGTGGGGACATGTGTCCCCGCCTGCACGATCTTGGGAGGGATCGTCAATCCGCCCCCTCACCCCTCCCTAGAAGTGGAATACGGGTCTTTGTATTCCGACGAGCGCTCGAGAGGCGCTTCAACTGTAGTCCGCCGTCCGCAGCTGCCTGCGTTGTATTCGTAGCCCCGTGTGTCTATGCGATGCTGCGATACACCGGCACGAGGCCGTGGGTTCCCGCCCTGATGTTTGCGTGTTCATGACGCAGGCGCGCCATCATGACTGCCGTGGTCTCGGGAGGCGGCAGCGACGTCCGGGCGAGAGAGAGAGAGGGGGGGGGGGGGGAGGGAGAGGGGGGGGGGGGGGG